TAGATCGTTCTTTGTTCGCTTGACCCATACTTTGTCTTAAAGATCTTGTACCATAAAAGGGATATGATATATCGATTAGATTTTTTAGTTGATTTATATTGATTAGATTTTCTTTCACCCAATAAAGAAGATTATGATGTACGTAAAATTAAGAACCAACAAAATTTTCTTCTTTCTTTTATCTCTTCTAACACGAATCAGAGCCTATATTCTAATCTTTCTCAGTTTGGATATTCCTTCTTCACTGCGTAAGAGAGCTACTGTAGGTTATAGCTAATTTGCGGCCTTCCTCACACGACGATGGTCTTCATCAATCGAGTTCTTTGATCCTTCTGCATCTAGTGTAGATCAACTGTACTAAGCACAGTTAATATCTTGCCTAAGCAACTCACAATAAATTAAGCTTTTTTACTTTTCCAACTCAAGCTAGTTTTTCTAAACCATCTTAAGTTTGCTGAAGTGTGTTAAAGATATCATACCCATAACAGGGATATGATATATCCCTTGATATAGCATAGATTTTCCCTTATTCCTGTCAGATAATAGGGATTTGATGTCTCTTAATTTCTTAGTTGATTTATATTGATTAGATTTTCTTTTATCCTATAGATAGGATTATGATGTACTTATAATAAAAAAATATAAAGTTTTTATCTTTATTTTTTTCTCTTCTGACACTAGGTATTATATAATCTAATTATTATGAAAAAATATCGTTGATATTCTTGTTAGCCCAATGTGGTTCAGACCCATATGTAGAATTGTTCGTAGTAAAAATGTCAAGGTCCTAAGGAGGTTGTTCGAGTTGCCTTCAAGGTAAAAACACCAAGCTCCTAAGGAGATCGTCCGAGGTGCCACTTGTATGAAGACCGGGTCGGAAGAGGTTTCTCGAACCGATCCCTCTAACGCACAAGTTAGTAATTCGAAGTAGATGAGTACAGTCACTAATAGTAAAAAATGACCTCTTGACTATATTAAAAATAAGTTTTTATTACTGGTAGCGAAAAAATGACATATTATATGAAATATTCTTCGAGAAGATAACTTTTAATCGTCTTTGATAATCTTAATTTGGCCTTTTGTCCATGTAGGCTACAAGGACAGAGATAGCCTATAATTATCTATCTTGAACCGATGTTCATGCACGTAGATCGATGAGAGATAGTTTTTATCTTTTTCTTTCAGCCTAGACATCATGTTGAGGACATCATTTGTCCCTCCCACGAAGGCATACTTTAATAGCTCTTTGGTAAGGATCTTGAAACACAATATTTTACTCATCCAACATATTGGTATTATGCTCCCTTAATCACTTCTTTGAGGGGGTGTAGAGTTTTCAACTAATGTACCTTGAGCACATCCAAAAAGAGTTAGAGACTCATCCTCCCCGCCTCAAGTTATGAGGTGATGAACGTTTGATGATTAGCCCACCTCGAGTAGAGGGGGGTCAATGCTCAGCCCCTCCACCTTGGTAAGCGAAGGACGTTGGCGCCCGACCCACCTACCTAGAGCAAAAAGAGGGCTTAGAGCCGACCCCTAATATGTGGTTGGTAGAGGAGGTCAACAACCAACCCACCTACCTCGGATGGAAAAAGGGGTTGACATCCGACTCACCCATCTCGGGCAAAAAGAGGGTTAGTGCTTGATTTTTCCACCATGGTTGGTAGAGATTGATGCTTGATCCACCTGCCTTGGGCCGGAAGGGCGGTCAACGCCCAACCCACTCGCCTCAGGTGGGATGGAGAATCAATGCCTAACCCTTCCTTCGTGGTTGATGGAGGAAGTCGGTGCTTGACCCACCCATCTCAAACAAGAAGGGGTCGGTAGCTAACTACTCTACCATGGTCAATGGAGGTAGTCAGCACTCAATCCACCTACTTCGGACAAAAAAAGGGTCAACACTTGACCCCTCTACTATGGTCGACAAAGGAGGTTGACTCCCGACACTTTGGGCTAGTATTGAGGGAGTTAAGTTTTTTCAACTTACACGTTGAGCTTTTTAGGAAATAGTTGAGCTTTCTAGGAAATAGTTCAAGGTGCTACTTACACAAACGCAGAGATCAAGAGAGGTTTTCCGAGTTAATCCCTTCAATGCTCAGGTTAGTAATTTAAGGTAAATGAGTACAATCGTCAATGATAAAAAGTGACATGTCGAGTATATTAAAAGTAAGTCTTTATACCAAATAACAAAGGAACGATATATTCTATATAATATTTTTTGAGAATGTGACGTTTAACCACCTGGAGTAAATTTAATTTAACCTTTTGTACAAATAGATAATAAGGACATAGCTCATAGTCGTAGACTATATCTATAGAGACAAACTAATAGGATAACTTTTATCTCACACACGTTAGATAATGATTAATTAATAATATTATTTGATTAATTTAATTATAGTATTCAAAGTCTACTTTTATGTGACTAAGTCTAATATGATTATATAATTTTAAGTATTATGTTTATAATTAATAATATATATATATATATTAAATTTTAAGCTTTAAATTAATGCATATTCACTAAGCACTTCATATAATATATAATAAATAATAAATAAAAGTGTGGACAATAATGAGTAATGTGACTCTTAACGTGGATGATCTATACATGTAACACATTAAATGCCCTTAATTTAAAGTCATCATTGATGACTATTATCCATTTCAGTCATGAAGCTTTGGCTCAAGTCATATCACACATAGAATGGCAAATCTTGAATTAAAAACCTATTTTTATTACTCAAATTATTATAAAACATCAAATACTAGTAAATGTTAAAGTATTGCCCATTAGTCATCTTGGCAAAAGATAAATTAAGGTCTTAATAGCAAGATATTTTACATCTTATGATTATGTGAGGACTAATGTTTTGAGAGGGGTCTATATCCTCATAAATAAAGAGGTTAATTTCATGATTTAAATGGATCACTTGCATCATAAAGAATAATCTCATGGAAACCCTAAAACATGGAATTATGCTTTATAATTTATGAATTTTCATATTATTATTTGAGAGAGATAACTCATCATTATTTTAGTAAAAATCATAATTATTTTATGTAAAAAATTGTTGGATAGAGTCAAAGGAAATTAAGCCAATGGAGAATAGTCAAAGATTAAACACAAATGGATGTTAGAATTATACATAACTGCTATCAATATGAGAAGTCATTTAAAAAAGGTTTTTGGTAATCTTTCTCCACACCTCAATTTTCATGCAACATAAAAATACTTAAATTCCTCACTAAAGTTGGTAGCACCTCCTAATGATATTGCTAAGTCTAAAATTACCATCAATTGCCAAAAGAAATAGGAGAAGAGGAAAAGACTAAAAAAACTTTTGACTCCTAAATCATGATAAAGACAATACCGGTCATCATCAAATCCTCATGTACATAGCAAAATTTAAAGAGAATATAACTAAATATAAATTAAATAGTTGAAACTTCCGATGAGAAAAATAACCATCACTTAAACTCTCTCAAGTTTCAACAAAGTAATAACCTACTCTGTAACCTACTCTATACTCTTTGTGATTGCCCTCTATGTTTTTATTCATTGCTGCATAGTTAAGCTCTTCTTTGCAAGATTTTTCTTGTTGCTAATCTTCATTATTATTTGTCTTCCTTATTATTTTTGTTAATCAAGCAATACTTTATTAGTTAGCAACTCCACCTTTCTCTAGTCAATTATAGATTACCCTTTAGCTATCTTTACTATTAAAGGTAGTAAAATATGTTCATTTACCTTAACGTCATCGATTTTATAAATTAAATATAAAAATAAAAGATAAAAAGATAATTTTAATATTCTAGTTAGTAGTAATGAACGATATCAGTGGTGACGAGCGATGATGCCACTAGGGGCCATAGATGGCCATTATAGATGATGAGAGTAATAATAAGAGGTAATGACTGTTCTGTATTTATTTTCATTGATGTCGTCGTAAGTAGTTGTCGAATGACCTTTTTGTTGCTCTGCATCTATGTTGACATCGATCCAGTTGCCGAGCGACATTGTTCGACAACTACGTTGATAGCGACGCAGATGCAGAGCGATCCTCACTTCTCATCGTCGCTTTTCTCATCCACAATAACTACTGACGGCCCCAAGTGATGATATCGTCTGCACCACCAACACTGTCAGTCACCATTAACTGAAAAATTAAAATTATTTTTTATCCTTTATTTAATATTTTTATTGGTAAAATTCACGACGTTAAGATAAATAAACCTAGATGTCATACTTTCGTAATTATATGAATACCAATATAATTTTTTAAAGTACAAAGATCAGAATACTAAATGTAACTAACTAAATTAGTCCCTTTAAAAATAATTCTTTTACAATGAACTTAACACATTGAGATAAGATAGATATGAACTAAAGAAATAGTCTTATGTGATATACATCTCAATGGCATTAAGCTAAACAACTTAATGTTTTGGATATATTGGTATCAAATAAATATATAGTCTCCGACCTAAATTAACTAAAGTACAAATTTTGAAGAGAAATGATTTCTAAGACATCAAAATTAAATGAAAAATAATTGGCAAGGGAGAAAACTAGGGAAAATACTACTTAGGTTCAAAAATTATTTCATCTGATGTAAAAATGATAACACCCTTAATATTTTTTTCATAAATAAAATTTTATTCAAGCAGTATTTTTTGTCGAATTTAAATATTTTTCCTGTAGATTATCCATAAATAATTATAAAAAAATGATTTTTTTAATTAAAAAAATTTAGTGTTTTGTAATGAGAATACTATCACAAAACTAGCTACCAGGACCAAGTCCTTGGCCGTTAATTCAGATTAGTCCCATAAAAAGGCCACATGCAATACCATTTACTAAATGACACGTCTCACTGGCTTGTTCATCTGCGACAGCTGTCGCTATTTTGTTTGTTTCCTGTCTTTCTCCATCTTGCAATTCTTGGACACGAGGACACCCTAACTTTCTCAGGGGTCGTCAAACCATTGACGAGATCCGATCACCGCCGGGCCGCGCGGGCTGTGCGGCTCATTGAGCGGTGACGGTTCTCATCGGATCACCGCAGCACCGGGGACCCCTCGCCCAAATCTAAATAGAAATGGAGAGAAGAATGAAGCAGCAGCAGCAGTGGCAGTCGCAGCAGAGAATCCAATACAATAGTGGAAGAGGTGATCTTGACGCGATTCCTGTAGCGGTTTGAATGATCTGAGATCCGGTTCTTCTGCTTCTCTTTTCTTCCTCGATCTCTACGGAATCCGCACGAAGCCGGTATGCCAAAACTTGTTCCTTTCTTGGGTTTTGCTCGGCTTTCTCTTCTTCTGGTTTGATTTGGAATTGGCTAGATTAGGTCACATCTTGAATTGCTTTCTTCAACTGGTATTTTTGTTCCTTTTATTGCTACTCTGAAGTCTATGACTAATGGAAATCAGGGAGACGTATGTAGCTGCGGGAAAAAAAAAAAAAAATCCGATTTTAGTGTGATCTTGAGGTTCTTTTCGAAGGCATTGTGTGATTATGCTGGTTTGGTGACTTCATATGCCTTTTGTCAATCGAGGGAAGCTCTGGAAGTGAGCTTTTGAGGAGATCGTTGGATCTTGCCTTGTATGTGCCGAGCGATCATCGGGAAGACTAGGTTAAAGATGTGCACGTTGATCAAAATAAAATATCTTTTAGGGATTACTTAAATTTACGGGATCACAATGCTTTCTTTTTTTTTGGTTGAAGTTATTAGTCATGTGGGTTGTTCTCCGTTACACCAAAAAAGGAGTCATTTTTCATCCAGAGGTATCAGTAATTAACCACTGATCTGTTGTGTTTTTCGCTTTCATGGTACTCTGCACTATGGAAGCTCGTTACATGCGCTCCAAATTCATAACTCTCCTTGCCAGGTAAATGCATACTTGCGAAACGTGCTCTGTTGGCTATCACTGGTTCTGCTAGTATTCTTCCTAAAATAATTGATTTTTTTGTTTGCAAATGTATGAGCCATAAAGTTAGTTTTCTAAGTGAAGTTTTGAATCTTACTAATACACAATTATTTCTGTAATTAGGTGCCATGGCCGTGAAAGGGAATGCAGCAGACAATAGGACCAGAAGCTCTGTTTCTATATTCATCATAATTAGTATGTGCTGCTTCTTCTATATTTTGGGAGCATGGCAGAAGAGTGGTTTTGGGAAGGGCGACAGCATTGCCATTGAGATTACTAAGCAAACTGATTGCACCATCTTGCCAAATCTTAGTTTTGAGACTCATCATAGTAGATCAGATTTCGGTGATGATATTGGAGCGGAAGTCAGAACATTTGAGCCATGTCATGAGCGTTATAGGGATTATACTCCTTGCCAAGATCAAAATCGAGCAATGTTGTTTCCTAGAGAAAACATGAACTACAGAGAACGGCATTGCCCCCCGGAAGAAGAAAAACTGTACTGTCTTATACCAGCGCCCGAAGGCTATGTTGCCCCCTTTCCATGGCCGAAAAGCCGTGACTTCGTTCCCTATGCAAATGTACCCTACAAAAGTCTTACGGTTGAGAAAGCTGTTCAGAACTGGGTTCAATATGAGGGTAATGTGTTTAGATTCCCTGGTGGAGGAACACAGTTTCCTCAAGGGGCTGATACATATATAGACCAACTTGCATCTGTTATACCAATTGCTAATGGGACAGTCAGAACTGCATTAGACACTGGTTGTGGGGTATGTAAAGTTTCCTGAAACACATCCTACAAATTATTCCCGACTTTAAGTTGCACATCTGATACATGTTATGATTTGAATGTTTTGAGTATTGTTGGGTCTCGTCAGAGTTGCTAATTAGTTTTAGTCCACAAATTTTGTAACTTTCAGGTTGCAAGCTGGGGAGCTTACCTTTTGAAGAGGAATGTGTTGGCCATGTCATTTGCACCAAGGGACTCTCATGAGGCACAGGTGCAATTTGCTCTGGAAAGAGGTGTCCCTGCAATTATTGGTGTCCTTGGAACCATAAAACTGCCATATCCATCTAGATCCTTTGATATGGCTCATTGTTCAAGGTGTTTGATCCCTTGGGGAGCAAATGGTGAGTTCCATAATCAACCTGTTCTTCGTTTCCTCCATCAAACCAGCAAATACCCGATCTTTTCATTATTAATTCTATGCTTTGGGCTCATTCTCACTAATTTGCTTTTTCAGATGGCATGTACATGATGGAGGTAGACCGGGTTCTTAGGCCTGGTGGGTACTGGGTGCTTTCAGGCCCTCCCATAAACTGGAAGAACAACTACAAAGCATGGCAGCGTACAGAGGAGGATCTTGAGGATGAGCAGAAAAAGATTGAAGAAATTGCTGAACTACTTTGCTGGGAGAAGGTCTCAGAGAAAAGTGAAATTGCCATTTGGAGAAAGAGAATAAACTCTGATTCTTGTGCTGTGAGGCAAGATGAACCCCGTGTCAGAACCTGTGAATCATCATATGCAGATGATGTCTGGTACTACAAACTCCTGTTTTCTACCTAACCAAGTAGTGCACTTAGTGTGATTTTCAATTGTTATTTGCTACCTATAAATTTACCTCAAATAACACATGCTGCATAATCATCTTTGTCCATTTGCATAAAAGTAAAAAATGCTAGTTCAGCAGAATTTACTAAGGGCTCTTCATGGCAACTATTGCCCCTAAAAGAATCTAATAGTCCATATCTTTTGATGCTAATACCTTAACTCCTTTTCATACTAGTTGATTAGGTGGTCAATGAAATCCAAGCATTCAGATCCACTTTGCTGGTCACAAAAAGCCTTCTTTCTCTGCTTCTAAAGCTGATGCTTTGCTCTATCTTTGTTGCTACAAAAAAGAATTTATATGTCTAACAGATGCATTATTGTAAAATGTGAAATTGAGTGGAGTTTGGTATAGTCTGCAGCTACATGTGTGTCTGATGTTGATCCTTATGCCTTTTTGTCCATATTTTGTATCCAGCCTACAGTGAGTTGTACTAGCCAAGATTATCTTCCTTTTGAACATATTTATACATAAAAGTACCATATATGCGGTTTGGCATGTGAGACGCATATTCTTATTAATGTGGCCTTACCTTGTGGTTTTAGACGAGAACACAATGTAGTGTCATAATTTGTAAACTGGCAGGTTTGTAGCTTCAGTTTCTTTTGCTCATTAACCCATTCAAGGGATACCTTTATTACAGGGATAAATTGTTTTAGATATAAAACTTTAGTTCTTAGTTATTAACTAAGAGATTACTGGGTATCCTGTGGCACTATTTACCATATCTGATACAAAATATTGTGAAAATTAACCATTCAACATGAAATATTCTTGGGCAGTTTTTGTAAAGTTGAAGCAGTTCAACATGGAGCCATCTTGTTCATGATCTTCCTCACTTATTATGTCCCAATATGAACAAACATAAGTTCCTTTTAGGCATCAATGAAGCAGTGTAATGATGTCGGGAAAGTGTAAAGAATTTTACGCACATCATAGTTATCTCAAATTTTCTATATGATAAATCACCATTTTTTTCCTCAGAATTCTTATATATTCTTTCCCTTAATAGTTTCCAGTCTTGTTTGAGCTACTGGATGGAGAAGTGGTTCCTGTTTTTCTTCTTGATTTGTGGAGTACAATTAATTAGATGTGTAGCTTTACGAGAGTTTCATAGTCCCAATTCCCCCTTTTGCTTTCTCACTGTCTTTTATCATTCCTTGTTGATACTAGGTACAAGAAGATGGAAGCATGTATTGTGCCTTTTCCTGAGGTTGACAACCCTGAAGAGGTTGCTGGAGGAGAACTAAAGACATTCCCAGACAGACTAAATGACGTGCCTCCTAGAATAGCAAGTGGTTCTGTTCCTGGTTTCTCAGTTGAGTCATATCAGGAAGACAACAGATTATGGAAGAAACATGTCAAAGCTTACAAAAGATTAAATAAGTATATTGACACGGGACGATATCGGAATATAATGGATATGAATGCAGGATTGGGTAGCTTTTCAGCAGCAATTGAGTCACCCAAATTATGGGTGATGAATGTAGTACCCACAATTGCTGATAAGTCTACTTTGGGCGTGATATATGAAAGAGGGCTGATTGGCATATATCATGACTGGTATTCTCATGCTACAAAATTGCAATTTGACTCTTCTTTTATTGTTGAAATTGCTGCATACATTATGCTATATTTTCATCATTTGGCAATCTTTTTCCTTTTTCATTGTTAGTTATTATGTCTTATCCATTGAATTGATTTTTGAGTTATTAGGTTTGACACTTCGGGCTATATGTGATATTAGCTTTTCTTTTGATTGCTACAGACCCTCAATGAATTAAGCATTTTCTGATTTTTTTTTTGCTTGATGGTACGATTAATTTGTGAAATAACATTCTTGAGGTTAAGCTGGTATTGTATGCTGAGAGATTGATATTTGAGATTTTGTTTGTCCTAAATATTAAAGCATGTAGAAGTTTAGGGTTTTTCCAAATCAAGTAATGAATATCAAGAAAGAATGTTGTATAACATGTTGGAGAAACATTGCATTCTGGCCTGTATGTTCTTGTTTCCAAACTCATTAAACTCGACTTATAATTAAAACTTGTTTTGTTCTATTTCCAGAGCATCTTTACACCATACTATTTTTCTAGGATTTCCCTTTTCTTTAATTCCTTTACTGTCATGATCTGTCACAAAACTTGTGCAGGACTCTGTCTTACTGACAGAATTTTCTATCAACCATAGGCCGGTTTGATCAGGTTATCTAAATTTATTAACTTGGAGGCAAGAGCTCTTGCAAAGTTTGAAGAAACTGGAACTTTGAGAATTTATGTAGGATTTTTTTCTCTTATTTTTTTTCATATACTCTCTGTAGCTCGGCATAGGAAGTGAAATAGAATTTTGTTTTAATTGAGAGCAACTTTGTCATGTTGGATGTGAATTTTATCACATCCTCATACTTTATCAAAATATATGAATTATGTAAACTCATTACCGGATTAGACTGCTGCAGTCTTATATGCCACTCTGCAGTTTTCCAGTATTGTTTCCTACTAACGAGTTTTGTTATCACTTTGATGTAGGTGTGAAGGTTTCTCAACTTACCCAAGGACATATGACCTTATCCATGCCAATGCTGTCTTTAGCTTGTACAACAAGAAGTAAGTTCGATAAGGCTGTTTTCTTCACAAATATGATTATACTGACCCATGTCCGAGTATTTATACCTTGGAATAATTCTTTGCAAAAACTTGTCAACTTTAAACCCCTCATATTCTTATGAAAATGAAGTAGGTGCAAGATGGAAGATATTCTTTTAGAAATGGATCGAATTTTAAGGCCTGAAGGTGCAGTGATATTCCGCGATCAAGTAGATATCTTGATGAAGGTGAAGAGGATGGTCACTGGAATGAGATGGAACACCAAGATGGTAGATCATGAGGATGGCCCTCTTTTGCAGGAAAAGGTTTTGGTTGCTGTTAAGCAGTACTGGGCAGGTGGCCACACTAATGAAACAGTCGAAGTGTGAATCTGATCCAGTAATCGCCACCATAAATCGGATGTTATCCCTATACTAGTTGATCATGGAACCAGTTAGAGAGAGGCTATCAGCTGACAACAGCTTGGAGATTCGGACAACATTCTTCGGCCGGAAATATTTTACCATGTTTTTGGTGCTACATAGCGATTGTCGTATCAGTTAATTTTGCTTCCTTCTCTTCCTCCCTGCCTTTTGTAGTCTATGTCCTCGCTTGCTAATTTGACTCTTTTTATGAGATGATCTGAAACCATTGAGGTACCTGTGAAATCCAATGCATTCTTTTCATCTGGATTATCCAAACGACAATGTCTGACTGCTCAGCACCACCAAGAATGTGCATAGTTGCCATCTCCATCTTGCTTTAGAACTCTTGGTTAACTGGTGTGAGAAGGGCTTCTTATATTGCACATTATGTGTAAATTGAGATGTTGCACTTAGAATCTTATATATGAAACTTACCCTTTTTTTTGTCTTTTTTTTTGAAATAAATGAAGATTGATTTCAGATATCAAAAGTTACATGAGCTGGTAAAGGATTTATAGAAGAGACTTCTGCTCACATCCCTTGAAGCTAGAGAGATTAAATCAATGCATGCTTTGTACATGCCTTTATGCATACAAAAGAAGCAAGTGGAATGCATCTAGAAGTTGTTGATGGTAGTGAACATACACTAAGAACAGCACAAGTAAAACTCCCTTACCAAACAACTCTTACAAACTATGCACCTGCAAGTAAATTAGCACGGCATGACACTGTTTATGCGCAAAAAAGGAGCAGATGGAGCACAAACTCCTCCAATAAGATTACTATCATGCAGAAAACTCACCAAAATTAACTCCTCCGAACTCATCTGTAGATAAAATTAGGATGGAATGGCACACAAGTTGTTACCTTCAGATGTAAAAGATTGTATGGCAACACATCTAACAACAAACCTTGATCAAGAAAGATAAGATTCTTTGTCGATGTCACATTTTGCTTAAATCAATTCTCTCTAACAGCCAACATTTATTTCACACACATTCCAAGTATTGCTACTTTCTTACCACAGCCTGTTCCTGGTGGCTTTACAAGTAGTCCCACCCTCTCAATCATCAACACATTGGGATTGTAAAGCCAAATACTCATTACTGGAACAAGAACTTTAGAAAGACAGCATGTGGAGACCATTTTATCACTCCACATATGACCATGCACCACTTCTTCTAATCGACAAAAAAAAAAAGGAAAAGTCTCGTACAGCAATTGGTATGACATGCAACTCATTGCTATTTCTCAAAAACAGAAATTAGTTGTACATTGGCCCATCTATGTGTACAGAGTAAAAATTATGGAAGGATATCTAATTGGCCACTATAACTCTTATCTAAGAGAACAGCAAGTACATCAAACAAAATATACTTGAGAAGTTTTACCAAATCTACTCCAAAAACAATTGACGCTTTTTATGCTTCAAAGATTACTGCCACCTGGAAAAGAATAACTCACACGAGTTGTCATCTTATAAGAAAATAAGGATCAAAACCATCCTTCGATAAAAAGTGCCCTTGGTGTTGTTGGGTATGCAATGCTCCAAGCATATTTTCATGTGATTGTATCACCAAATTATACAAGTCAGAAATTAAAGGATTCCTAAGAAAAGGTTTGATTATCCCTTCAAGTTGAGTGAACTCTGACAAGTAAAGCTTATGACTATCTGTTGAACATGAATTGAGCACTCCATATGGCTGCTGTGAGAGTGCATAGAGGCCAAGAAGATTTGTATACAAAGATACAAAAGCATCCTTGTGATTACCTATGCCTCCAATCCAGTCTGTTATCCCCTCATATTCAAGACAGCTGTTAACAAATGATATCAACAGCTGTAGAAATCTTAATCTCCAAAACGATGAGAACTTTTGGATGCTGCTCTCACTGAGGACTTCAGGACGAACTTGAACCTCACTAGATTTTGGAACTGAGAGATTCTCTAAATGCAAACAACAGAACTGACATATCAAAAGCTTTTCTTCATGGTGGTTATCAATTTCCTTGTCAAATATCCGTCTAACTAGATCTCCCTGGGAACTCACAGAACTGGCTGTGCTCAAGACCAAGTTTGCTAGGTAATTCAGGTATCCCAGCCAATGGCCAAATAATGAAGAGAGGAAATCAATGCTCAACTCGATTACTCTATCCACTTGAGTAGGTGCAGCATCTGTGTAAGAGCCGTTTGTTGCTTTGGAACTAATGCAAGTCTGGACATCCTTAGCAAGCCTTTGCCTAAGCCCATTATCCTCATCCTCCAAAAGCTGGATACATGTGAACCATAAATCTAGTATCTTGCAAGCATAAAAGTTAATGACTTCAGGCATCTCAGACTGGAAAATTTTCTTCTCAATGTCGATAATGGAGGTTTCTTCAAATGTGAAATGGCTGTTAGACACGACTGAAGTAACTGACATGGCCTCTGCAAGCAATCCTGAAGCTATTATGGCTTCTGCAGCTGCCTTCCGCATGTTCACAGGCTCAGATGGTGCACTATGACGGTTAACTAGGCAAACAAAATAGTCAATGCTTCTAAGGGCTCTGGCCCACCACTCAGATTGATTGATTTTGCTGGAACCAACAGCAGTCTCTTCCATTACCTCATGCTGATCAATGAATGTAATCAAACCCAAAAACTGCTTTATGCATAAACCCATGCAGCACAGAGTAATTTCTCGGGTCTTTGAACGCTTCACTGAACTGTATAAATGGATCAACCTGTCCCAGAAATGGAAATAAAAATCACAATCCTCAGTGATACTGCATTTCAAACCGGTTGGTTTCTCAAGTTGCAGAAGATTCCAGTTAAAAAATATCTTCAGTACATAATAGATGCATTTTGGGTTCTCTTCCATAGGCAACAACTTAATCAGCATCAAGTGCAGATTGGACTTGGCCCATGTATAAATAACTCCACTCTTGGGGCTAGGCATAAGAGACATGACTAGCTCAAGAAGCTTTTTCAGTGTCACAAGTCTAACTTCATAAGTAGGATCAAGAACGCAGGACATTATCTTCTGCTGAAGTTCAGACACAGATGTCTCGGTTTCAAGCACCTCTTGAATAATTGAACTGGTTGCAGAAACATTCCATAGCTCGATGAGCTCCTCTGAAACTACATGTTTTCTTCCCAACAGGCAACTAAAATAGGATGCAGTTGCCTGCTTGCGGAGTTCAACAATAGTTGGATCATACCATGTCAACCAAGAAGACTTTCCTGCATCGAGGCATCCTGAGGCTAATTGAAGCAACAAAGATCTGATAGTTGTGGTATGTTGACTTGTGTATGTTCTTGTGATATCAAGCATAAGATCTAAAACACGTATGTATGAGCTATTCAAAATAGGACAAGGGCATGACTGGGTGCTGCCAATCCAATAACATTTGGATAGCACCTGGAACAGTTCACCAAGAATCTGTTCTTTCTTGGATACATCAGTCAAGTCTCTGCAGTTGTTATCAAGAAGAGAAAATAACTGCAGTAAAAGTCCATGTATTGAGTTGAAAGATGCAGCACGGTTAGCTACACTTCCAAGTCCATTGCACATTTTGGCTGACCCAGGAAGATCATAAGTAAGTGATAGTGGCATTGACATCTGATGTCTTCCATGAGGTAAACCATGAGCAACCTCACAAATGACATTCTGCAGTTTCTCATTAGATACCAGGCCAGTTAAAGCCCTCGATGCAAGAATACGGACTCGGAGATTACTCTGAGTTGCACATTTCTGGATAAAAGGCATAAATAGGGAGGGGTCTACAGCATCATCAGTTGCACTGCTAATAACAGAAGGTTTTAGCCTGCTTAAGAGAATAAGAATTGGGCACAAGCTTGGATGAATGACTTTTGCAATGTTTGATTCCATGTGCCTGGAGCACCCATCACCAAGCAATTCGGTGGCAATCTTTAATTCACTGAGAAGGAAAGCATGCAATGCTGGGTACCTACAGGAGATGAAGAATGATCGGTAAACTATCAGATTGTGCTGAAAAGCATGTCATGTCCCATAAAAGAATCAAGTTATTGGATTGTCATAGTGATTATATCATATAATAATTTTCAAAATATCAAATTCAGGAAAATTGTACAAGACAACAAGATAGGATGGTTATACAGATTCCTTCTGCAATTTAGCTCAATTAGCATCAACGGGGATGCAAGACAACCATAAAGATGTACCAAAAATGCTTGGTTAGATAACCTGATTCATCTAAATTAACCAACTAGATGTCATGTACAAGCAACAAAGCAGCAAGCTAAAAATTATACAGAACAAATTAAAGCAGCAAGCTAAAGTGCAGTGATAACTCATCAAATAGCCTAAATCAAAGCAAATAGTCAAGAATTATTATGTATAGACAGCCAAAAATGCAAATAAACCAAATGAAATCAATGTTTTCATTCAACTTCTTGGATTGGTTTTGATGACTCATGAGATTCAAATAAGATTCATATGATAATGTGAATGTTTGATGGGCTTCCAGAAGTGAATGTGATTGTTGTCATGGAGATGATGGCGAGCATTATGTTTCAGATATGAGGATTAGTTTATATGTTCTGCTAAGGAGAAAGACTAAATGGTTGCCTGATGAGGACGATGCAGGCTGAAGGTTGGTGAGTCTTATTTAGGCCAGTTAGGCTTGCAGTTAAGATAACCTGATACTACTTCCTATAATATCCACCATAGATTTGATGTTCACTCCCATGTGTTCTCTTCATGTTGCTAAAACATACTTCTGAACCTTTTTTTTCATTATTCTTAGTGAAGTCACTAGGGCACCCGGGCGCTCGCCTAGGTGCCCAAGCAAAGCGAAGCGAGGCAAGGCCCGAGCGCTTGCCTATTGGGCTGGACGGGTGAGTTGACTCAGGCGTGGCCCAAGCGCTCCCCTGGGCCCAGGCGTTACGTGGGCCGAGCACTCGCCTAGTTCAACTTAGGTCGAGTTCGAGTCAAACCAAAATACTCATTTGGTTTGATTGAACCAGGAATCTACTGCAGAAATCCACCCACAAGTGCCTTAGTGCAGACACCCGTGAGTGCCCTAATGCAAAATTCCTTTCCCCCACTGCGTTTCTCATGACAACGAAGTTCCTCCCAGCGGCAAACAACGATAGCAGCGAGGGGAAGTTCTCCTCCTCCCTCCTACCTCTGCCTCGTTCACCATAGCCCTCCTAAGTTCACCACTGCAGCTCTCCTACAATCACCGCAGCCCTCCTATGTTCACCGCAGCCCCCCCATCTCCCCACCTCTTCCCCAATC